AAATGGTGAATATGTGTAATATGGTGTGTATTATACTTTGACGGTAGATCTTAGAAGAACGAATTTGTGATTGGGTTTAGGAAATTTCTTGGTGGGTGATTTAAAGAAGAGACGATCTTGTGGAGATTCTGGTTTGGAATATGAAAGGACACAATTTTAGTAATTCTGTGATTATTCTGACATGTTAAGGGCATGTTTGAAGTAATTTAAAGGTGCGTTTATTGGAGTAAAGTGAGCTAAGTAATATGTATGATTTGATTAGTTTTTCACATTTCTATTTTACCATATAAAAATAGTATATATGGTTAAAAAAAAGTAGCATAGTATATTTTAAATATTTATTAAAAAATAGTTGTGTGACATAATTTCCTCTTTATTCATATACTATGATAATTAGGCCAGATTCGGAGGGATACCGAGATTAAATAATGAATTTCAGAGCTTGGATTATGAGCTTTAGCGAACAGATGAATGACAAAAAATGAAGAAGAAAATGAAGAAAAGAAAAATAAAATATAAGCATGTGACGTGCAAATTAACTTGATCTAATCGAGTAGATGGTTGAGTAGGTATTCTTTACAATTACACTTGAATTATTTTTCTTGTAGACTCGTACAAAATAGATCCTTTTTACATTTTTCGATCTTTGGAAGGTGAAAATGGAAAGAAAAATTTGACCAATAAAATTCATTCATTGTGGAGTAAATTATAACTATTGCAGTAAAGGACGACTAACTGAGCAAATCATAGAAAAGTCAGCTTCTCTTGATTCTCGAATTGAACCACAAAAAGCTAAACGTTTACACTTTTTTTTAGGACATGTTTGGAAGCGATTTTTCCTTTAAAAAAATTAATTTTTTAATCGTTATTTCACTATTTCAATCGTCATATTTGACTTCTTCTCTCACAAATGGACCCCACTTTTTTCTTAACGGTCAAAAAATCAATTCTCAAAATCACTCCCAGACAGACTCTCAAAAAGTAGTACATAAACCCCTATTTGCTCCTCATTATTTACTCTTTAAAATGAAAAAAATAATCGTTATTCATCATATCAAACTATCATATTTGAAAATCTATTTCTTGTACGGGGTTCGTAACGACTATATTTTTCATTCTCATTCTTATACTAATGTGGCTCAAATGGGTTTTATATACAGATTATTACTATGTGGGGAAAAAGGAAAAAAAGAAAAAAAGAGGAACTTGGTTTAGGGTACTAATTGTGGAATTCAACTAGCTTTACACAGATATTGAGTTTTAAGTTCTACTTTAAAAGGCGGTCTAAATTGCTTTGAAGAACATGAAAATTTAACCATAATCCTTTTGTTGAACGAAATAGATCATACGTTAAAGTGTAAACTTTTACTATTCCTGAGATACAGTTAATAATAATAAATATATAAAGGCTTAAAATAGTCATTCTAACAAGATTAAACTTTAAAAATGGAATCCTAATATTCGAGGGCGGATGTAGGGCGACCAGGCTGTAGTAGTTCGGTCCAGTCCCAAGCCATATATATATATATATGTGTGTGTGTGTGTGTGTGTGCTTGTTTTGAATTTTTTTAGTTCGATCCTGAATCTGCCATTACTAATATTCAATATGGTGTGAGAGTCTAAAAAGTTTTATAGGGCAATAATTCATTTAAAACTCAAATGAATCACCATTTTATTGAGACATGTCAAAAGTTTAATATTGAACTGGTTTAATATAAGATTTTTAAGAAGTATTCTTTATAATCACTTTTGATCAATAATATATTTAATACAGTAAGACTTAAAACTATTACTCATTTATTATTAATACATTTTATAGAATTCACAAATTATAATCACTTTCCAAACATCGGTTAAGTTAGAGAATTTATATTTCGTTGACAAATGGCATCAAAAGATGCATCCACCACTCGAGAGATTTGTGAAAGATTCTTTGAACCAGAGGACAGGGCCAAGAGACAAGTTTGAAACTCACATTTTTTTCTACTTTCCCATTAATCTTATCATCATGTCTAGAGGTACGATGATAGAATATTGAAGTACTATCTTCTTGAATCCATGACAGATGGTTAATTTCATTTTTGTCTCTGAACTTTGTGTAAAATCTCTATTAGGCCACGCACTTTTAATCTATCGCAATTATATCGCTGAATTTTAATTTACTTTTGGTTTTAATCACTTCATAAGCCCGTATTACTAAACTTAAATTCTCAATCCTCCACAGTCACAGATCACAGCATATTGGATGGATAGCATATTTACTTAGAAATAGAAGATATGTTATATCTCTGTTCTTTAGAACATGGGTTGTGAACTATAAATTATTATATAAATAATTAATTAAAAAATTATTCGTTGGTATTTGATATGCTAAAGTGCCATGTTTGATTGTGTGCCTTGACATATAAAAATGGCAAAAACTTTCGAGAAATGTGCTTTAAGACTTTAGTCGAACAAGTTCACTGGCCCTAATTATTTACTGAAACTCAAAAGTTTTAACAAGAAAAGAATTAGTAATTCCCTAAGAAGACGTTCTAAGTATTTGTTTAACTCGATCGATTCGACAAAATTGAATAACAGTGTGAATAAATATCTTATTTTCCTCACTTGTTAAATATATCCGATTTAACATACTAAATAATAAAAACTCATCATAGTGACTTTTATAGACGTCATTATCTTTTCGACGAAGAATCTAGGAAGTTCATGTACGAGTCTTTCATAATTGACACAAGATGACAAGTCTTGGGACTAGTTCAGCAACAACACATAAGTTACAAATCATTTCAAAATTGCATCAATACAATAATTCACGTTAAGAGGGAATAATTCAAGAAAAACTTTCAAAAAGAGAAAGAATGATGGTGACACAGGCTCGTGTCAACTCAAGAATCAAAATGAGAAAAAAAAAAATTTCAAAAATCGTCTGTAAAATGCAAGATTGTATCAATCCAATAGAGAGCAAAGTGAGTGAGAAAACTATACACTCTTAGTCAATTTCACAATGTATAATGTGCCACTAACCGAATATATTGAAAATTATATTAGAGTTGAAATTTTACCAAGTTTTCTTTCGCAATTTCAACTTAAAAAATTGCACAATCTAAAATTAAAGATCTATTTGATGCATTCAACAGCAATCAAATAGTTAACGTTCTTCTCTTCTTTAATTTATACAGAGAATGTTCGATGTTGATTGTACTTAAAAGCTCCTTTTTAGAAAATAATTAAAGCTTACCTTCATTTTTTTAGTGGAAAAATAATAATAATCTTGAAATCCATGCTAGCAAAAGTAAATTTCACTTATTTTAAGCATAGTCAAATAATTAGTCCTTGTTTGAGCCCCATTTTTCAAAAATACTTTTCCCAAACTTATTTTTAACCATACACTCTCAATAAAATAATTTTACACTTGAATTCAAAATTTTTTATTACTCTTTAACCATACATTTTCCAATAAATCACCATCACAAAATATATTTTCCTCTTAAAATGGGGCGGCTCAAATAAGGGCTTAGACGCGTCCATACAATATGCAAAACTTGCTGCCTATTCTCCACTCTAGCCACAAGTTATTAGCATCAAATGATTAATATGAGCACTGATTAGACAACACTTAAATTAAACTGATTCCCCTGAGCTCTAGAATAAGAAGATTCTTTGACCCCGTGTAGTGCAACTTTAACTTAAGAGGAAATTGAAATCAAATTGTGTTTGTTTTAGCTCATTAATTCACAATATTTAATCCAAAGCTGTCTAATCATGTGTGTCAGAAATATTTAATTAGTAGAAGCAAGTTTAGTGTTAGAATGTTAAAACATAATAATTACGATAAAGCAACTTTGCTATTTGCAATATATTTCAATGTCATGTTGAACCGGATGTTGAGTTTTTCTTTGTATTTGGTACATTGAATCGAGTAAAAAGGGAAAAAAGAAATTAATATTATGCCATTGTATGGCCTCATTTTCTAAAATTCAATTTTAATCATATATTTCATACTGCTCAGAACTTTTATCAATTTTTTAATCATACATTTCATTAACTTTTATCAAAATTTGTTAAAAATCTGATTTTTATCTAAACCATACAAGGGCTATGTATTCTATTACGTAATACTTTTATCTTTAGATGTTCATGATCAAATCAGTTGATGCGCGTTCTGCATTTGAAGAACCGGCTAAATCTAGGTTCGAGTGGCATGAAATGCAACTCATCTACTAGTTTACAGTTAAGTACCATTTCCATATAATTCCTTAACATATTATTACATTCCAAGTTGAGGACCCCCAGGTATTAGTGTCCTAAGAGCTTACAATTGGATGCGCTATTCACGGTTCAACTAGAGGATACTACAGAAATTTCAATTTGATGGCGACATCATAAAGATATGATGATAATGCTTCAAAAGGAACTCAAATTTTAGTACTACATACCTAATATGTTCTTGAATATCCATATTTCAACACGACGAATAAATAATTGAATTCCACAGGAAACTTATGAGAATAAAATAGTACAAAATCTACTTTTCTGGTTATGCATCAAAATTTAAAGAATATGAACGTATCACTATTTAAAACCATTCTCTTCCCCATAGTAAGATAACTATCTAACTTTGAAAAGATTCAAAGTTGTACATGAAAAATTATGTGGATCAGCTGCATTTTAATGCAGAACAATAACTATGCAGTAAAACTTCTTGAGATCGATTAGGTTGGCATATATTCCAGAAAGCAACCTAAAGACAGTCTACAGTTCATTTTAGGGCATCCAAATAGCTTTTGACGCAAGAATGGATAATGCAATAAATAAGATTCGTTTTCTTCTTTAATATTGTCCAATATTGTACAATGTAAAGCTTTGATCAAGTGTGATGTCTCTAGTTTTGTAAAAACTTCCGTTATTCTTGTGAATCAATTAGTTCTTAATTCTATTTTAAACAAGCAAGTTCGTTAGCAGAGGAAGAGTTCATAAGCCAGATTAAATATACTAGAAAATTTGAAGAAGAGCAATTTTTTTCTCTTTTTATTGATTGCAAACTACTATATACACAGACCAAAATATGATACAAAGGACTAAAGTTAAAAAATACAACAAAGTACACATGGCACTCATCACTAAACATTTCCCTAGAGGAACTTATAAACACAATTTCTACTGCTGCCACCACATGGAAATTAAGGGATGTCAAACCTGAGCCAATCGCCTAACAGCATGTTTGGTAAACACAACAGAACGGGTACTACAAATAAGATTTTAGCTTCATTTTCTTATTTAATAGTGTCTCCTCTAGTCCGATACAGTGTACCAAACATGCACTACTTTAAAATAAGCCTTCTGTCTTTGTCTTTTTTTATCCGAAGGCATAATATGACTATCCTTCTTAAGTTTTTGAAGAGAATAGCTTCACTCAACAGTAGTTATTCTAATAGCGATGTTGCTAGGAGCTCTCAAAGAATGATCTTCCTTGTATAATTCCAGCATCTTCGGGAAATCCGTCGACCTACAATCAAATTTAGATTTGTCTTTAAGATGATTATATGTTCAAAAGCAGATTAAATAAATGATCTGCCAAACATTTACTTAACGTCCAATCCAAGCCGGCTGTGAAAGGGGGTTTTGGCTGCCTCCTTCAATAATGTTACTCAAAATTTGAATTTATTTGTCTTAAGGCAGAGTAAACAAATGATTTACTAAACCATCAACCTAAACACCCAGTGCAGGCCAGCTGCGCAGGGCGGTTTTGGCTGATACCCTCAATTTTTTTCTCATTTCCATACTTGAATTTAGAGAGTATTTGTTTTAATATGATCCTAAATTCGTGGATGGAGTATAAAACGATCCCTCAAGAAAATTTCTCAAGCTGTCATTTCAAACTTGGTATTTAGAACCACAGAAACAGCTCACAAATAAAAATTGTTTGAACTCAAGCTTTCTCCAAAGGCTACGCCAATTTCACACATAAAGATCCATCATAAAATGCTTTAAATCAGATATATGTAAAGCTTTATGATCATTTATATAATAGAAAGTCGGGGAAAATAATATCACCCAAAGATCATCTTCCTCTTCATATCCATTACACATTGATGCTTTGCGAGTCTCTCGTGCTTCATCATTGCGTGCAAATCTTCCACGTATTCTTTGTCGACCGTCGGCCAACGTTTTACGGCACACATACTTGCAACATCACAAGAAAAAAATACCAACCACATTTTTTAGTTCCAACTATAAATACCTATATAATAGATACATGATCGATCAAGTCAAATGATTGACTTAATTGCTGTGTTTAATATTATTACCTTAATTGTCCTGTTGAAGTTTCTTTGAGTTCTCTTTGCTCTGTACCTATCAATCCTTTCTTTCCTCTCTTCTGCAGTATACCTTCGGGCTTTAACATTTGCTTCTGCAATCAATGACTTTACGTTTGATAATGGACTTGAAGACGGCAAATTTCGGGTACGCATTTTTTCTTTCATCTTCTGGAAATAGAAAATTCAAAATATAATAAGATTTAAACAATCTGAAAACGGATTTATAATTCTAAAAAATTCACACTGGCCCCTTTAAAAGTTACAAAGTGAAAGTTTAAGCTTTTCAACGAGTGGTTTAATCCAATCAGACAAAGGTCCTCAATTCAAGCCTTTGGACCACTTATTTATGAAAAATTGTGCATAAGTCTATACTATGGCAAAAAATTTAAAAAAATGGAATTACACCTAGACGTCGGTTCAATGCAAACTGACCTGTAAATCTCCAGCGCTACAAATCCTTCTCATTTGACCAGAAGAGAAACTGCTTTCTGGGGAATTCAGCACATCATTTTGCAAATTTTGAGACTCAAAAATATTATCAAATCGAGGTTGAAATAGAAAATTCGGAATATTTTCAAAAGAATTGCTGCTGTAACTCCTATGCATGAACTTCACTGCAGATTCAGCAGCGACATCATAAAATTCATGTAGAATTGAATTTCCATGATCTGAGAAACTGTCAAAAGGGAATTGATCTTCCTTTGCTTTAACCTCTAAAACAGAATTCTCAGGATTTGTTAAATGGTACAAGGATAGATTCTCAAACTGAGTACTGGCAATTTGGTCCAAAGAATTGATTTCATCAAAAGGGTTTTTTCCTTGAAGCAAATTCAAACTAGTTTTGCCATTTTCTTCAATTTCTTGGAAAATATCATGAAATGGGTCAATCGGAGAATCAGAAGAAACTGGGTTTTCAAATACAAATAAATCAGAAGACATTGACAATAATAAATCTCCAGAACAACGAGAAAAACTCTCTTAAGACCTCTTGTATGTGTAAAAATGAAGTTAATGCAAATTGATGAAGAGAAAATAAAACGTAGAACTAAAAAAAAAAAAAAAAATGGGGATAATTTGAGGAGGCTGATTTCTTTAATAAGAACCCTTGTCCATAGCTGAGCTTGATGACAAGAATCCAATTTTCTCTCTCTAAAATTTTTTGTCACTTTTTTCTCACACAATCACACAGTAGAGAGAGGGGGCAAATTGTTTTGAAAAATAAATAGGCCGCCCATTTGCACTGAAAGTTCAAACCTGTGCTGTGGTATAAAAAGACAAGAAGGCTTTGTGAGAAGTACCTCAACTATTCATTATTTCGGAATGCACCCCAAAACTTTATAATAATATTTGTATTAGCCATCAGATTTTGGTTGAGACTTGACGTAGACATGATCAATTTTTTAATGCCTTCGTAAAAATGTTAAAAAATTAGAGGGTAAGACTTGATTAGCTCAAAGTGTAGAAAATTGAATAGAAAATTAGGAAATATTTTTTAACTCATGTTTGATTCTCATTCTTCTAAAAATTCATGTTTTCAAATCAAATTTGATTAAAATTCCACATGAATTTTGTTCAGTGGCATGTTTCCAATCATATTTGACTAAAATTTCACTTGAGTTTGGTTCATTGGCGCGTTTCCAATCAAATTTGACTAAAATTTCACCTGAATTTCGTTCATTGGCGCGTTTCCAATTAAATTTGACTAAAATTTCACTTGAGTTTCGTTCATTGGCGTGTTTCCAATCAAATTTGACTAAAATTTCACTTTCCAATTAAATTTGACTAAAATTTCACTTGAGTTTCGTTCATTGGCGTGTTTCCAATCAAATTTGACTAAAATTTCACTTGAGTTTTGTTCATTGGCGGGTTTCCAGTCAAATTTGACTAAAATTTCACTTGAGTTTGGTTCATTGGAGCATTTCCAATCAAATTTAACTAACATTTCACGTGGATTTTGTTCATTGGCGTGTTTTCAATCAAAATTGACTAAAATTTCACGTAAGTTTGGTTTATTGTGCGTTTTCAATCAAATTTGACTAAAATTTCGTCTAAATTTTGTTCATTATCATGCTTCAAATCAAATATGACTACAATTTCTTCGGAGTTTGGTTAAATGGAACGTTTTCAATCGAATTTGATTAAAATTTCATCTGAATTTTGTTCATTGGTGCATTTCCAGTCAAAATTGACTAAAATTTCACATGGGTTTAGTTCATTAGTACGTTTCCAATAAAATTAGACTAAAATTTCACTTGAGTTTGATTTATTGGCGCGTTTCCAATCAAATTTGACTAAAATTTCACCTGAGTTTCGTTCATTGGCGTTCGTTGGCATGTTTCCAATCAAATTTGACTAAAATTTCACTTGAGTTTGATTCGTTGGCGCGTTTTCAATCAAATTTGACTAAAATGTCATCTTAATTTTGTTCATTGGTGCGCTTATAATCAAATTTGACTAAGATTTCGGTTGAGTTTAATTCATTGGCGCATTTCCAATCAAATTTGAGTAAAATTTCAACTGGATTTTATTCATTGGCATGTTTCCAATCTAGTTTGATTAAAATTTCACTTGAGTTTGGTTCATTGGCACGTTTCCAATCAGATATGACTAAAATTTCGTCTGAATTTTGTTCATTATCGTGCTTCAAATCAAATATGAATACAATTTCATTCGAGTTTGGTTAAATAGCACGTTTTCAATCAAATTTGTGTAAAATTTCATTTGAATTTTGTTCATTGGTACGTTTCCAATCAAATTTGATTAAAATTTTACTTGAGTTTGGTTCATTGGCGCGTTTCCATTCAAATTTGACTAAAATTTTGTTTGAATTTTGTTCATTGGTGCGCTTCTAATCAAATTTGACTAAAATTTCACTTGAGAGTTAAGTTCATTGGCGCATTTCCAATCAAATTTGAGTAAAATTTCAACTGGATTTTATTTATTGGCGTGTTTCTATTCTAATTTGACTAAAATTTCACTTGAGTTTGGTTCATTGGCGCGTTTCCAATCAGATTTGACTAAAATTTCGTCTGAATTTTGTTCATTGTCGCGCTTCAAATCAAATATGGCTACAATTTCATCCGAGTTTGGTTAGCATTTCAATCAAATTTGAGTAAAATTTCATCAGAATTTTGTTCATTGGTGCGTTTCCAATCAAACTTGACTAAAATTTCACTTGGATTTAGTTTATTGGTTTATTTCCAATTAAATTTGACTAAAATTTCACCCGAGTTTTGTTAATTGGCCTGTTTCCAATCAAATTTGGCTAAAATTTCACTTGATTTTTGTTCATTGGCGCGCTTCTAATCAATTTTGACTACAATTTCACTTGAATTTGGTTCATTGGAGCATTTCCAATCAAATTTGACTAAAATTTCACTTTTATTTTGTTCATTGGCGTGTTTCCAATCAAATTTGACTAAAATTTCACTTGAGCTTGGTTCATTGCGTGTTTCCAATCAAATTTGGCTAAAATTTCATCTGAATTTTGTTTATTGTCACGCTTCAAATCAATGTCTTCGGAGTTTGGTTAAATGGAGCATTTTTAATCAAATTTGATTAAAATTTCATCTGGATTTTGTTCATTGGTGCATTTCCAATCAAATTTGACTAAAATTTCACATGTGTTTAGTTCATTGGCACGTTTCTAATAAAATTGGACTAAAAATTCACTTGAGTTTGATTCATTGGCGCGTTTTCAATCAAATTTGACTAAACTTTCACTTGTATTTCACTCATTGGCGTGTTTCCAATTAAATTTGACTAAAATTTCACCTGAGTTTTGTTCGTTGGCGTGTGCCCAATCAAATTTGACTAAAATTTCACTTGAGTTTGGTTCATTGGTGCGTTTCCAATCAAATTTGACTAAAATTTCATCAAAATTTTGTTCATTGGCGCGCTTCTAATTAAATTTGACTAAGATTTCGGTTGAGTTTAATTCATTGGTGCATTTCCAATCAAATTTGAGTAAAATATCAACTGTATTTTGTTCATTGGCCTGTTTCCAATCTAATTTGACTAAAATTTCACTTGAGTTTGTTTCATTGGCACTTTTCCCATTAGATATGACTAAAATTTTTCTGGATTTTGTTCATTGTCGCGCTTCAAATCAAATATGACTACAATTTCATCCGAGTTTGGTTAAATAGCGCATTTTCAATCGAATTTGAGTAAAATTTCATCTGAATTTTGTTCATTGGTGCGTTTTCAATCAAATTTGACTAAAATTTCATTTGAGTTTGGTTCATTGGCGCATTTCCAATCAAAATTTGACTAAAATTTCATCTAAATTTTGTACATTGTTGCACTTCAAACCAAATATGACTCCATTTTCATCTGAATTTTGTTAAATGGCACGTTTTCAATCAAATTTGAGTAAAATTTCATTTGGATTTTGATCATTGGTGCTCTTCCAATCACATTTGACTAAAATTTCACATGTGTTTCGTTCATTGGCGCGTTTTCAATCAAATTTGACTAAAATTTCTCTTGAGTTTCATTCATTGGGACGTTTCTAATCAAATTTGACTAAAATTTCATCTGAATTTTGTTCTCAAATATGGCTACAATTTCATATGAATTTTGTTATATGGGGCGTTTTCAATCAAATTTGAGTAAAATTTTATCTGAATTATTTTCATTGGTGTGCTACCAATCAAATTTGACTATAATTTCAGATGAGTTTAGTTTATTGGCTCATCTCCAATCAAATTTGTCTAAAATTTCACTTGAATTTTGTTGTTTGGCGTGTTTCTAATCAAATTTCACTACAATTTTACTTGAGTTTGGTTGATTGGTGCGTTTCCAATCAAATTTGTTAAAAATTTCATCTGGGTTTTGTTCATCGACGGTTTCCAGTCAAAGTTAACTAAAATTTCTCATTGGATTAGTTTATTGGCGCGTCTCCAAAAAAATTGACACAAATTTAGACTTTATTTTGTTCATTAGCGGATTTCAAGTCAAATTTGACTAGAATTCCACTTAGATTTAGCTCATTGGCGCGTTTTCAATAAAATTTGACTAAAATATCACATGTTTTTCTTTCATCGACGGGTTTTCAATCAAATTTGACTAAAATTTCGCCTGGGTTTAGTTCATTGACGCGTTTTCATTCAAATTTTACTAAAATCTCACCTGAGTCTTGTTCATGAGCGCATTGCCAATCAAATTTGACTAAAATTTCACTTGAGTTTGATTCATCGGAGCGTTCCCAATCAAATTTGACTAAAATTTCACCTGGGTTTTGATCATTGGCGTGTTTCCAATTAAATTTGACTAAAATTTCACTTGAGTTTGATCATTGGCGCGTCCCTAATTAATTTTGACAAAAATTTCGTCTAAATTTTGTTCATTGTCACGTTTCAAATCAAATATGACTACAATTTCATCCGAGTTTTTTTAAATAGCGCATTTTCAGTGAAATTTGTCTTAAATTTCACCGGGGTTTTGTTCATCACCGTGTTTCCAATCAAATTTGACCAAAATTTTACTTGAGTATGGTTCATTGACGCCTTTCCAAACAAATTTAACAAAAATTTAGTCTGAATTTTATTCGTTGACGCGCTTCAAATAACATATGACTACAACTTCATACGAGTTTTGTTAAATGTCGCTTTGCATTCAAATTTGAGTAAAATTTCATCTGAATTTTGTTCATTAGTGCCCTTCCAATAAAATTTGACTATAATTTCACGTGGATTAAGTTCATTGGCGAGTTTTCAATCAAATTTGACTAACATTTCACCTGAATTTTGTTGTTTGGCATGTTTCTGATCAAATTTCACTAAAATTTTACATGAGTTTGATTCATTGGTGCGTTTCCAAACAAATTTGTTAAAAATTTCATCTGAATTTTGTTCATCGACGGGTTTCCAATCAAAGTTAACTAAAATTTCTTTGTTGGTTTAGTTTATTGACGCGTTTAAAATAAAATTTGACTCAAATTTAGATTTGATTTTGTTCATTAGCGAGTTTCAGTCAAATTTGACTAAAATTCCGCTTAGATTTAGTTCATTGGCGCGTTTTCAATCAAATTTGACTAAAATAGTATCTGCGTTTCGTTTATCGACGGATTTCCAATCAAATTTGACTAAAATTTCACCTGAGTTTTGTTCATTGGGGCATTTCCAATCAAATTTGTCTAAAATTTCACTTGAGTTTGGTTCATTGGCATATTTCCATTCAAATTTGATTAAAATTTCTTCTGGATTTGGTTCATTGGTGT